ATGCGTGGTAGCCCGAATGGATCTTTTGGGCAATGCTTGTTGAGATCCGTAGTCGACGCTTTATACGCCACTCGTCTGTGTTCTTCTTTTGCACAAGGACCGGGTTTGCTAGCCAGTCCGGATGAAGGATTTCTCTGATGAATCCGGCTGCCATCAGTTTTGTGATTTCTTTTTTAATCGCTGCCTTTTTGTCGGGTGAGAATCGTCGTAGCCACTGCTTTACAGGCTTGGAGTTTTCATTAACATCAATTCTGTGCTCAGCCAACTCTCTTGGGACACCTGGCATGTCGGCCCGGCTTCCAGCGAAGATATCTTTGTTGTCCCAAAGAAAGTTGGTGAGCGCGAGTTCTATTTTTTGCGAGAGGTGAGCACTGATGGTTGCTGTCTTGGAGGTATCGCCAGTGCCCAAATCGATTTGCTTGACGTCGGCTTCTTTTGGTGGTGTGATGATGCTGGGCTTTTTAGCCGGTATTTCTAATTCTTCTTGGCTTATCTCTGCAGCAATTGTGGCTATTTGTTTTCTCCCATTGTCGGCCTGTGCTTTTGCCGCAATTTGGATTGCCTGAACGTCGCAGTCAAAAGCACGCTTCAAATCGCTTCGAAGAGAAAGGATATCGTTGGGTCCCGCATCTTAAGCAATAAGTACGGGTAATGTGGTATTGCCATGAATTTTGCCGATCTTTGGGCGTCCGAGGATCGCATGATATGATTTAATCGAAGTCTGCGACCTCAAATTTGATAAACTCGCATTCGATAGTTCGCAGGAGTTCCAAAAGTGACGGGTAAAGTAACTTGTCCGAGTGGCATGGCTGCTTTGCGGGTACTATTCCGTAAAAGGAGTGCTTGTTGGTGTAATCATCCCAAATGAGTTGTAGTCCCATCTTCCTTAGTGTTTCGAAAAGATGATGTTGAGTCCAGCTCCCCCATCGATTAGCGACTTGTTCGCTTGCTCGTAAACGATCGTAAATTTCCGGCCAGAATGTTGTTTTTCTCTCACACCAAACCAGCCAAAGATAAATAATCCACGATACGATCGGCCTCCCGAGCAGTGGTGTAGTACTTTGGTGACATCATACCGGCAATAGTTGGGTCTAAAACCGGTGGGTAATGGCTGCGTTCCCTACGCTAGTCCATTGGTCTTCTCTTGAAAATTGGATTGGATATTGTGACCAATTGAGATATCTTGGTGTAGCCGGTTCTGCTTGTCATGATGGTTCAGTGGTGCTAGTTTTTCTTGACGTTTGCTTGTGCAACTGGGGCTCCGAGAAGATTACCGCTACTGTTCCCTGGGTTTTGAAATCCTTTGTCTTCGTGGTTGTCTTCATCTTTCTTGTGATTGTCCTCTTTGGTGTTCTCCTTACTATCTTTTCTCGTATCGATCATTGAAAGTGTAGCGATTTCCGATGGTGTGTCTCCGTTAGGGTGTAATGGGCAACGTATGTTTTCAATGTCTTCATATCTTCGGGTTTGGAAAACTTCTTTGATTTGTCGGCCATTGCCACGGTATTGTCCGGTCTCGCTTTCTTTCTTGATGTCTCGTTATTTCGATGATTTTGCCTATCCGGGTTGTCTTGGTTGCTTCTATCCGGAACCTTTCTCGTGTTTTTCTTCTGCAGTAATCATTTTTTCTACTGCTCGTCTCAATTCTTCATTGTTTCTTGGATTTTCTTTGCGTAAGTCTTGAAATTGCCACCTAGCCATGATTCCGTGAGAGAAAGCTTCAATTACTTCTCGTTCGGTGATGTCATGCACTTGAGCCCGCAGTTCACCGAATCGCCGATAGTAATTTCTGAGACTTTCGCCCCTCTTTTGCTTGAGTCCTTTCAGTTCGGCATGAGTGATTGGGTGTGTGATGATACTGCGAAATTTTCGCAGAAAGCTCTTCTGCAAGTCTTCCCAAGTTCTGATCGATCCTGGGTTCAATTTATCAAACCATTGGAGGGGCATCGTTTCCAGTGCCATGGGGAAGAACAAGGTTTTAATATCATCATCTCCTCCGGCTAGTTCAATTGATTGTGAATATATTCTGAGCCATTGTCTTGGTTCGGTTTTGCCATCATACTTGGAGTGATTAGACGGTTTGAATTTGTGAGGTAATCGAACTGATGCCAACCTGTTTGCAAAACAGGGAATCATCATGCGCGTCCGCTTCCTTGAATTCGGATTCGGCTCCTTCTTCTGGCCAAGTGTTGTTTTGATGGGAATAATTCTGCGAGGCTGTCTGGGTAGGCCCTCTACTCCTGGTCTTCCTTGGTTGTTCAAATTGATGGCCCCGACTATGTTCCCTCCTACTTTCCCCGTTATGGCTTCCGCCTGGTCCAAGTCTTTCAAAAGCGGACTTCCTTTGATTTTGATCTTCTTGCCTATGGGTTGTTGATCTGGCAGGTATTCTTGATCGGGTTCTCTCTTCATGCGTTCTTGGGATCGTTGACCGGAGCAAGTCCTGGAGCTGTTCGTACTTCTTCCCATGATGTGAAGTTGCCCTGAGTTCTTCTAATGCTTCTCGAATCTTATCGTAAGGCGTACTCACTGTGCGTCTCCCTTCGGCCTCTTGTTGTGATTTTCTTTTGTCGTATTCAGCCAATTCTAACTCGTATCTAGTCCAGGCTTCTCTACGCTGTCGAGCGCGGTGCTGGCGCCCTTGTTTCAACTTGTTTTTCCTTTCTCTAGCCTGTCTCTGACTCTCGGTTTCTCCATCGTAGCCCTGAGCAAGGGGTGATATGTTGGATTCTGATTCATCTGATGACCTGACATCGGGTGCTTCTGGGGGGTTTAATGGCGACCGAGGACGTCGAACCATCAGCACTTCCCGTGCGTGAGCTATTCCGTTATTGTCGTTAGTTTTCATACTGTCGGAGTTGCTGATGACTTCAGTGTGCGCCTCGACATCGTTGATTGAGTCCCCCTCTTGGTAAGGTAGAATAGCTGTTGTTGTTGTGCCGACTAGTTGGGTTCCGCTATCCTCAGGAACAGGTCCTGGCCAGTGGATGATACAGTCTTGCGATGTTATCGTTAGAACGAGACCCTCCTGAGCTCCTGTCAGTGGTATCCCAAGTGTTGATTTGAAAGACCTTTCAAACTGTCCCTGATAGGATTTTGTCGTGTTGTCCAGCCCAAATGGAAAAGAACTCGGCCTTTTGAAAAAATTCTGAGGGTAATCCGAGTTGTTTTGGGTTGTATTCTGGAATCTTGCCAAACAAGAACTCGACTTCTTGAAAGCACTCGAATAAGACTTCTTCTCGGATACGGAGCTTGAATTCGAGTCGGATGGAATCCTATTCGAATCGGGTATTATGAGCTGCGCGAATCTTCTGATGAGCTGATCCGTCGTAGTTGTCGAAATAGAGGATTCTTCATGATGATTCGGATCTTTGAGGAGATGACTTTGAAGCTTGCCGTAGTTGTCTGCCTCGCAGATCTACGAGCCGAAGATGAAAATCGATCCCGTCGGGAAGATCATGTTATTGAGGTCCATCGAGCTCTCGGATGCAAAGTCGCCGAAAGCCCCTACCTGGCGCGCCAGCTGTCGATGTTTTACTACCGATAGCCTGCCATAGGGGTACCGTGGCAGTATAGTTCGGGCTTCGGCGTATGCTGAACTCGATGGTGAACGCAAGAGACAGTCGATTTATCCTGGTTCAGGCCCTCGATCGTAAATCGAGTAACGACCCTACGTCCAGTCGGCGTTTGCCTTTGCGTTGGATTGATTATGAAGTGTTCTCGTACCTTTTTCGTTCAGGAGCTCTGCCCTCCTTTATATAGTCAGGAGGCCAGAGTCCTAATCGGTTTACAATGAGATTTCCTAGTAGGATTACTTAATAGTCCTATTACTAAGATTACATGGAAAGAATCCTAGTTGAACTAGATACTCTCTCTCTCTTGCGGGGTATCCTGTGGGTCCCGCATCGACAGCAGGGGGGATCCTTGTGTACTAAGGAAGCCTCGAGAAGACTCACCTCAGGAAGGGCGTATTGCAGCAGACAGCACCTCACGATCAAGCGCCAGAATGTAGAAGAGACGTCAGGGAGTTGTTGCGACATTGTTGGTCCCCTCCTACACGACAAAGGAGTACCCGACGACGCCAAGACGAAGGAACCGGAAGCACTAGGCCGATAAGCTCTAGGTTAGAACCTGTCCGCTTTAATTTGTACCTCATACCCTACTCGGTATATAAGGGGAAGCATGGGCTCCTATAGAAGGGATAGTATAATCGACGAATCGAAAAACCAGGATAGGAAGATCAAACCGAATTAGCCAAGAACTCTAAGATAGCACCACGCGATCCCCTACCAATTTCTCTCTACTCCATTATTGTAAGAAACTCCCGATTGGGCATTCCTAACATGAAAAACATAATATTGCTGGGCGTAGGGCTCAGAGGCCCGAACCAGGATAAAATCAGCTATGTCAGCTGAGTGTTTTGAATATCCGAGCCACTAGAGATCACCCATCTCTGACAAACAACTCGATGCTTGCCGCGGTTCCAAACCCGTAACATAGAGTCTACATAATTAATTACTTGATGTTTCTATTTATTATAATAAGGATTTCTATCTGTTTTCCTAATTTTCTTACATTGAGGGGTTAATTTGAGGCCTCCAATTAATAATATATATTAAAATAGCAAATCTAGATTCACTTTTTGTTAGCACTAGCACTACTAGACAACCCATTATTTATTCGTCAGTGTTAGGTCCCCCGTTTATTTGACCGCATTCAAAAGCATCAGAAACATGTGAGACGTATTTCATAATTATATGAATCGTGTCTCTACTGAATATAAATGGCTAGATGGCATATATCATTGTTCCAAACGTGTTTGAGAGAATAATGATAGAGTAAAATGCACGGATAGTCTATTAAATTGTGACGCTGTGTCGATGTGGTCGGGTTTGAAAGTGTATTTTTTATCTAAAACCTTTATCAGTGGGGCATAAAGAGTTCATACCTCTTCGTTTTATATTTATATTTCTAGAAAATCCCCCGTATTTATTTTTCTTTCACAAGCCGAGGCTGCGCTCCAGCTCGTCCAGCACGCCGCGCCCGCCCGCGTGGATGCAGAAGTGCTCCAGCGCCAGCTTGAAGTCCGGCACGTAGGGCTTTACCTTCACGGCTCCGTGGATGCAGAAGTGCTCCAGCGCCAGCTCGAACACGGACGGCGGCACGGCCGTGCTGCCCGCGCACAGCTCCCAGAACAGCACGTAGTGGCCCAGGATGGTGGCCGCGTCGGCGCAGCTGGTGTACTCCACCAGCGACGCGCCGAACGGCGCCAGGTGCTGCACCGCGCCGCTCACGGCCGCGTGCAGCTCCGTCTCGTCCGTCTTGTCGGAGTCGATGCTCAGCGCCACGTTCTGCCGCCTCACGAACTTGAACATCGGCGCCTCGTTCTTGAAGCCGGCAACCCTCAGCACGTCGCCCATGCGGTACCGATACAACCTTGCAGTCACCATCGATCACACAAAATGTTCATAACAATCTTGCACTGCTGGTCGGTCTAATTGGCACACGGATCGTCCGTCCATGCATGCTTTCGATCGAAGATGTCAGACATACCGGAGTAGGTGGTGACCACGAGCTCATACTCGTGACCGAGCTTCACGTCCACGAGGCCAACCAGGTCGCGGTGGCTCGGCTCTGCCTTGCCGTCGCTGCTGCACGGGAGAGGAAGGAACTCGAAGTAGCACTCGGAAGAGGCGTACATGGTACACGCTAGAGGCAGCCCGCCGCCGTAGAACTCCAGCGTCGGGATGTACTGCGACATGGCGCCGGTCACAATCACATCGATGCACTTGGTGCGGGGCCACAGGCGCCGGTTGATGCCCTCCCATGACGACCCCGCGCACTCGGCCTCGATCTCGCCGGCAAGCGCCAGGTCGGCGCCGCGAAGCACTCTGCCGACGGCGTCGCGCACAGCGCGGTCCGTGATCTTCGGGTCGAGCGTGCCCGTGCGGATGTCGCGGCACAGGCGCGGCCAGTGCTTCTCGAGGAAGCGGACGGCGCGGAGGAAGCCCGAGGCGAACACGGCGTCGACACGCAGCACATCGGCGCGGTGGACGAGGCCGCACAGCAGCTGCGCGTACATGCTCTAGTATGAGTCCACGCACAGGATGGCCTCGTTGGGGCTCGTGTACTCGGTGTAGGGGTCGTGCGGCTGGAGGCCCTCGTAGGTGACGAGCGGGACGACACGGCGGAAGGCTTCGACGGCATCGGCGGATCCTCCCGGGACGCCGTAGCGGCGCAGGTACTCGGCCGGTGCGTTCTGCGACAGTATCTCCGCGAGGACGCGCCGCTGCACCTTCCCGGCATTCGCCGTGACATGCTCGATGAACTCGAGCGCCGACGCCACTACTGCTCCGCTCCGCCTTCTACTTCAAGGAGGCTCTGCGCGCTGCTCCGGTTCCTGGCCGCCGGGCTCCTCCGCCGCGTCGCCCGCGTCGCCGTGAAGGTGAAGCCCTACGTGCCGGACTTCAAGCTGGCGCTGGAGCACTTCTGCATCCACGCGGGCGGGCGCAGCGTGCTGGAGGAGCTGGAGCGCAGCCTCGGCTTGTGAAAGAAAAATAAATACAGAGGGTTTTCTACAAATATAAACATAAAATGAAGGGGGTATGGACTCTTTATGCCAAAGTTTTTATTATCGGAAATAAAAATTTATCGGAGGTCATGGATAAATAGGATAAGCAGGATATATTGAAAATATTGGACCAAATTCAAAAAAATTCAAATTGTTTTGAAAAAATTTCGTAGAATTTGACTTGAAACTATTCCTAAGCTATTAAACATCATTTGTTCACAGATAAAAACAAGAATAAAACATTATAGCGTGGGACCGTTGTACGGCTGAATTTGGGTTGTCTGTGTGGGAGCAGAAAAGAAAGGAAAAATTTGGCCGATGTCAAATTTTATCGGACCCTGTGGATAGAACGGAAATTTCGGAAATTTCCGTGAATTTCGGCCGATAAAAAAACCTTGCTCTATGCACCACTGATCAAGGCTTTGGACTAAAAAATGCACTTTCAAACCTGATGAACCAAATCGACACACCTTCACAAGTTAATGGACTATCCATGCATTTTTCCATTAATGATATTACAAACTGATCAAATGCAATTGTTCATCATATATATGTGGTAACTATATATTATATGACAAGCACCCCAATTTTTTCTCGACCGAAACAAACACCTCCAAATTGACAATTTATGCAAGGATCTGAGAGAAAATATAGTCCAGTTGCTTCGTTTTCTACTTTTGAGGAACACTGCTAGCTAGAAGTGCTAGATGGGGTGCTTGAGCATCCAAAATCCAGGTGAAGTGCCTGCCTAAGTGCCTAACTGCTGCTGCACGCCTGTGATCCACGGAGCCTATGGGCTTGGTCCACTGAGATAGTGAAAGGTGCTTTTGGCACAACCGTACCCGTGGCTGCAGTATTTAGATACGAGGTCCGTGGTCCACTGACCAGCACGCAGCCGCGCTCCCACTAGATTCAGGTGAGCTCATCAGTGCTCCCATCACCAAGCCCCGGCCCCTTCCACGGCAGCTAGCTTAGCCCTTGGTGCAGTCAGCGGCGGCCATGGCGAACCTTGCCGCGCAGCTCAAGAACAAGTTCTTTGGCCTCGTCGGCCGCATCACCAGCTGCGGCCGCTCCGGCGCCACCCACAAGGATGCCGGTAATAACAAGTTCAGAACAAAAAGAACATCGTCCTCCTCTATTTATTCCATTTGCAGCTGATTCCAGTGTTGTGTTCTGCAGCTGGTGTGACGGAGACCAAGTCAGTGACATCTCAGGTCTATCTTCTACTCTAATCTCTGCTACATACGTTGGCGTTACACAATCTGCATAAAAGTAATCTGCATATAGACGTATATATATAGCAAGGGCAATTTTTAAAGAGGATACATATATTCACTTGTGCCCCACTTTGGGTTACGAACGAGATTCGGCGGATCCATCCATAGGAATAACGCTGTTGTTGTTGCTGCTGGTGGTTTGTAGCCTGTTGAGATCAGGTCAAGGGGAGGTGCTCCGCCTGTGGATGGAGGGGCCACGGGTCACATCCACAGCGATACCATCTAGAGGAGGCGCCGGAGAAGAGAAGAAGCTCATGGATGGATGGTGCTTGGACTTGGACATCATGCATCTGATAATTAGTTACCTGTCTGGATGAACTGAAGCTGTAAATCAGTCGCCGTTGCTTTTGTGTGTTATTCCTCCCTGTTTTACCATCGTTTTATGCTTTTCTAGTATCTGTGATGCTTGCTATGTTTCAATCTTTCATGCTCTGCTGTTTCGTTGTATGGTACTTTAAGTTAATCGTGTTAATGGTGTGGTTTTTGTTTGCTTATATATATGTAGCACCTGCATGGTGCGTTGTGATGCGCACCTATAGATTTTCTGGTGTAATAGAGACGGTGATGTGTATTTTTTTTCTTTCTTTTTTGCTAATACATGAGGAAAGTATTATGGCCAGGTTCTTCTGCCCATATCGTTGAGATAACATACAAATTTCTGTTCAGAGAGCACCTAGCCTTTTGGTTATCATCAAAGCCAAGCCAAGCCTGCCACCCTCGCCATATCGTTGAGATAACATACATACAAATTTCCTCTTTTTTTGTTGGGCTCAGGCCTAGTAATCTGTATCTGCTTTAATGAAAAAATTAGGTGGTGGGCTCCCCTGCTGACTTCCAAAAGAAAAAAACCATGTGCCTAGGAAAAAACTCCTTGGACCTATGCCAATTGTTATGATGCCATCACAACCAGACTCTGCGAAGCCGTCTTCTGCAGGATAGATCAAGAGTGTAGCCAACAAATAATTGAGTAAATAACCTGCACAAGAGAAATATAATTTTTTTCTTCAAATACAATATCATTCCAATAGGCAGGAGCTGCCCCTAATAGAAAAAAAGGCTTCAAGTCTTTACTAGCTCCCACAAGTTAATTACCAAACATATATGACATGCTATAAGGCTTAGTTAAGCTTGAGGCTGCTACCTGTATTACAAGCCAAACAGCGTGAGCGAACTGAAAAAACAAAAATAAATGTCTAATTGTCTTATATTTGTGACAAAAGCAACATGTTTTGCTACCTTTCCAGCTCACAAATACCATAAGAAAATTTTAAGCTTCAATGGGCCTTCATTTTCCATAGACATTTATTAAAATTAGGAGCATCAGTGTTGTTTAAAGCTGGATAGTGTGACTTCACTGAGGATTAATTGTCCATTCAGAGTTATGTTACAATGAAACACGTCTATCTCTTTGATTAAAATGGGAGTTATTAATCCCTGGTAAGAAATGGTTCCAAGCTACTAACTTGGACGTGTGGGATCCCTGGATCAAGAGTTATTCGGTGGAGGTGATCCATGTACTTCTGCTATATAGTGACATGTTGAGGCCTGGCTATATTGTAAAGACAAGGATACTGGCCACGCAAGGTTGCATATTGTAGCCACTTATCCTTGCAAACATAACCTGTTATATCCGTTACTATAAAAAAATCCAAAGCAACGGACATCTCGCTTTACCTTTATAAGACTGCACTAGACAAAAAAATGTGAGTCATGTGTTTTTCATGTTCAACCAGCACTAAAAGTTTGGTTCCTAGATGTTTATTATGAATTAGCTGTTCACAAGTCCCTTTAATTGTGAGGAGTTTAAATAACAATTTGCTAAGCAGAGCATTGTTCTTGACGTTCAAAGTCATGAATCCCTATAATTTCTTGATCTTTGGTCCGACAAAATATGCTCCATTTGGCAAGACGATATCTTTTTCTTTTATTCATCTCCTTGGTAATGGAACATGGCGCGAACACAATCCAGTTTCTTTATGACACCTCTAGGTATGGCAAAGAAGGACATCATGTACATCAGAAAGCTATTAAGAACTAAATTTAGCAATGTTATTAAACACCCTCCTATAGTATGTATTTGCCTTTCCAGCTACTCAGTCGTTTATCAAAGAGCTCCTCCACCTTCTTCTCATCCAATTTTCTCAGTTTCCTACAATGAATAGGAATCTGTTAGTATTTGATTGGAAATTCTCCAATCTTGAAACCGAATAGCTAAGGTGTACTGATCTATTGAAGCCTGGGCATCTCCAAACAGAACAACTCACTCTTACGAAAACTGATTTTCAATATATCCTAGAGTTGCTCAAATTCACAAAAAGACATCTTCATGTTTTGACATTTCTCTAGGATATGTTCTATAATAAAAAATTGTGTTGTTTGCGTACTATAGAATAGATAAACCTCTATCTATGAGGTGCAACACTATACTACACTGATTTGCCCATCTTCATTGGCCCCATTTTGATATCGGCAATATGTTTACTGGATTGAATAAAAGTGGAGACAAAACATCTACCTGAAGAGGTCCATTTTCTGTTTGAAAAATATGCCTGACATCATCATTTACATTGGTAGCTATAATGCCACCCAACGTGAAGGATTCCAACCAAACGATCCACTTTGACGACAAAACCTCATACTAGCATCTTGAATAAGAAGTGTCATCTAAAAAGGATAAAGTCCATTTTTCAACCTCGAAATTGCACGCTAGATTTTCAACCCTGAACAACGAAAACCAGCTATCGAGGGCCGTCCGATACTTGAAATTGAACAAACTTGGTCTTCTAGCTGGTTTCAAAGGTAGTTTTATATTTTCTCAAAATAATAAAAACATGTTTCAATTTATATAAATTTATAACTAATTTATTTTAAATCAAAAATATGAAACTAGTACTAATTTTCTTCTAAAACTTTTTATCTATTTTGTTGGTGCTTTATTTGGAGTTTTTAGATTTTATTTGTTTTAAACAAATAGTGAGGATGACTCTAAGCAATAAAGCAACAGGAACAAAAATAAATATGTTTTAAATTACTTTAAATTGATTTACAAACATATATATAATTTTTTGAAATAAATTGGTATTAGTTTTTATATTTTTTTATTTAAAATAGATTACTTATGATTTTAAGACCAAAACATATTTTTGTTATTTTGAAAAATAGAACATCACTTTTGAAATCGACGTGGCTGGCGCCTGGACGCACAGATGCTAGCCCCCGTCCAAATGCACGCGCCTGCCTGCCTGATGGGCATGCTGCTGCACGCGTCCGCATGCGCCTGCTGCGCGCCTACACATGGTGTTGCTGCATGAACACGCTCGCATGTGCTTGCTGCATGCACCCCCACGCATGCTCACAATTTTTGAGCGGGAAGTGGACACGCATGGCCCCAGTCTCCAGTGATGCATGGTCACCCAAACACGGGAGCTGCAACCGGTCATTATCGCGGAAACCAGCTACAAGCATGAGATTTTCTAGTACTCCTCATGCGCCTGCATATGCCTGCTGCTGCTGGCGCGCCTACGCACGGCATGCTGTTGTGCATGCACGTGGGGATCGCCTCCACCTGCACTCATTTTCCGTATCCGCTAATGAAAACACTTGCAACATGAAACAATTGTTGCAACATACATTTGAAAACAGGTAAAACATTTGAAATATACGCTTGCAACATATGTGTATAGCCACTACAACATATACAACATCTAAATAAAATATTTGCAACATACTTCTGAAACAGCTAAAACATTTGAAACATACACTTACAATATAGATGTATAGCCACTGCAACATATGCAACTTTCAGATAAAACGCTTACGACTTGAAACATAAAAACACTTGCTACAACATAAGACTGAAAATAGATGAAACATTTGAATGAAACATATACAACCAGATCAAAAACGCTTGCAAACATACGTCTGAAACAGATAAAATAACGCTTGCAAACATACGTCTGAAATAGATGAAATATTTTAAACAAAATCTTGCAACATTTGCAAAATTCTCGATCTACTTTTGCAACATCCATATAAAACATTTGCAACATACCATTTAAACATCGGAAACACTTAAAACATATGCCTGCAATATGCTTTCAGCGTAGTGCAACATCTCCTTGCTGTTTGGGAGAATAGAGGCTCGTTGGCGTGTGGAGTTTACCAGGCAGGGCTCGGCGACGCTTGTAGGCGACGGGACGGCGGTGGCGGCTGCGCGACATGGCAAGGAGGCAGCGCCTGCACGACTAGGAGAGGGAGCCAGATCCGCCGGGGAGCCACTTGTGCCGGGCTTGCCGCGCTAATCCGCCCGTGACTGGGGCCGTCGGCGCCGTTGCACCGCCGTGTCGAGGGCTGCTCGGGCCTCCGCATCATGGCCCGCTCATGCTGAGGCCACGCCGAGGCGGGGCCCACTTGTGCTGAGGCCACGCCAAGGCCGCTGCGCGGGACACTCGCCCGCACCGTAGCTAGAGAGAGATGGAAGGAGTAGCGCTGGAGGCACGCGAGAGCGAGAGAAAGCGGAGATTGGGAGGCACGAGAGAAACGAGTGGTGACTGATATTTTTCAAGGCTTGCATGCGGACGAGACACTAGTGGAGAAATGAGATCTAGTCCCGGTTGGGAACTAGTTCTACTCCCGGTTTCCCAACCGGGACTAGCAATCCGGGACTAAAGATGTTGTTCTTTAGTCCCGGTTTGCCACAACCGGGACTAAAGATCCTCCCAGCTTTAAAAAAATGCCTCCCACCGCTGCGCCTGTGAGATTCGAACCCAAGACCTCATGCACCGCCACGCGCGTAGCTTACCACCCCACCTACACAACACATCTAACAATAGATGGGATGCTTTCCTTTTGAACTAACCCATCGGGGGACCTTTAGTCCCGGTTGATGTTACCAACCGGGACTAAAGGGTCCTTTAGTCCCGGTTAGTAACATCAACCACTAAAGGACCCTTTAGTCCCGGTTGGTAACATCAACCGGGACTAAAGGTCCCCC